AAGTTTTCCCGTTTGAGCCTCAGAGATGGTTCCTGTCTGCGAGGCCCTCCCGCGCACCGATGAAGGGAGCTGCCGGAGCTTCCCTGTCACTTAGTCCCAGGTAAAAATGGTCCGTAAGATGCTATACAAATGGCAAACCCATAGTTGATGAATAAAATGAAAAATGAGAAAAAACACACCACCAATTCAGGGCTTCGCACGGCACCTCGGGTAGCGAGCTGCCTTTCAAACAGCTGAAACCCTCGAGAGAGACCTGCAGCTCTGGAGTCAGAAAGCCCGGGGTGCAGGCCACCCGGGAACTTCATAGCTAAGTGGTCTTGGGCAACTCAATCTCTCCGAATGTTATTGCCCACTTGTTGCTTATTCAACCTGCTGCAAACAGCTGCTGTAGGCACGTAAAAATATCTGAATGCAATGGAGTGCTGGGTCAATGTCACGTCCTAATATTATCTGACCATCCTAACCTTGCTGGGGATGTGAAAGAATCCATGTCAGCCTCGTTTAAATATGAGGTTAAATAATGAGTTTCAAAAGACTCCTCGAGAGAGAGAGCAATGGGCCACCCTCCACAGCCGCCTCCCTCCAAAACCTCCACAGGGCTTGCTGCTGGGGAAGCGCTAACTGGGTGATGGCACACAAATGGGCACACACAGTGCCAGCAGCAAACCCAGGGGCATGTCCTGGAGAGTTACTGCACAATGTTCTCTAGTTTCGACCTTCCCAAGATGAGATTCCCCCAAGGGGAACACCCAGACCTCCCCCCACAACATCCTGAGGTGGAATTCCCAGGACAGAACCTGTGGGAACCCAAGGCCTATTGGTTTATCAGGAATTAGGGTTTAGACCCAACCAGGGTGGCTCAAGGGCTGAGCGTCCATTTATGCACCAGGAAGTCACGGTTCAATTTCCAGTCAGGGCACATGCCCGGGTTGCTGGCTTAATCCCCAGAAGGAGGCGTGCAGGAGGCAGCCGATCCATGATTCTCTCTCATCATGGATGTTTCTCTCTCTCCTCTCTCCTTCTCCCCAACTCTCTCTCTCTCAAAATAAATAAAAACATATTTGTAAAATTTTAAAAAAAGGAATTAGGGTTTGGGACTCTGATTGCCCATCCTCTCCCATTTCCGGAGACATGACCTCACAGGAGAAGTGACTTCTAAGCGTTGACTATCTTGGCAGTTAAATAGGGGTAATGATTTTTCGTTCTGGTCAAGATTAAACAATGGCATGCGTCTACATCGCTTTGTAGAACGCCCGGCATATAGTCAATGCCCAGTAAGCTGTGCGTGTCAGAGCGGAGGTCACTGTTTGCACCTCTGTCAATGGCACCGGGGGGCCCTGAGCGGTGTGGAGGTGACTCAGGCCCCAGGTGGGTGAGGCGGCCACTTCTCAGAGGGACAAGGGCCACCTGCTCCCCTCGGGGCCAGCAGGATCTCTTCCACGACGGAACCCGTCTTGGGCAGCGTCTCCACAGGAGTCATTTTTTGGGAGTGGGACCCACACGAGGGCGTGGGGCCACAGCTTGTTCAGGAAGGAATTTGGAGCATCCATCTCCCTCACAGCTGGAGGGGGAGGACTCAGGGTTACTAAGGCGCACTGATGAAGCAAGCCCCGCATTTGAATGTTTTTAAATGCACGCTGATGTAATGTGTAAAGGCGGGGTTTCCTGTGGTGCCGCCTGCCGCCCCCACAGAGTAAAGTGCCCCTTGGAAAAGAGGGAGATGACAAACATGCCACTCATCCTCAGCGAGGGTGGGGTGAGTGGGTCTGAGAGCCCACAGGACAGGGCAGGGAGGTGGCGCAGGAGGGCAGAGAAACCGTCTCCATTCCACCTTCTCAGTGGCTTTCCTCTTTGGCTCTGAAAACATAAACAAAGCCTGAACAAATGGCCAGACTTCCCTCTGCCAGGACAGCCAGCACGGGCAGGGCAATGGCACCTGCTGCGGTTGTCGCCGCTCTCTCCCTCAGCCAGGCCAGCTGCTCCTCTGTCCACAGACACCAGCCCTTACTATTTCTTTAAAATATATTTTTATTGATTTCAGAGATGAAGGAAGAGGGAGAAAAAGAGAGAAACATCAGTGATGAGAGAGAATCACTGATTGGCTGTCCCCTGCACATCCCACACTGGGGATCGAGGCCACAGCCCAGGCATGTGCCCTTGAACAGGAATCGAACTGTGACCTCCTGGTTCACAGGCTGACGCTCAGCCACTGAGCCCCGCCGGCAGGGCAGCCCTTACTAGAGAAAATGGCCCAACAACTCTCAACACTGAGGAGAACTAGTCGTTCCTGTCCCGCCTCTCTCTAATGCAAGGAGCCCCTTAGAGGGAAAAACAAAAAAGTATAAGGCCAGATTTTTACCAGCATGGGGAGAGAGAGATACAGAAAGAGATACAGAGACAGAGAGATACAGGGTGTCTACAAAGTCTGGAACACAGAGAAAATGTTTCACTTATTCAAGATACCTTTTTTTGGATTAATGATGAAATCTATAGCTTCGAATGTAGAGATATTTTGTGTGCAAGAGTGTTTGCAAGAAAAAAATCTCGAGTCTATTGCATGAATACTCACATAAAAATAAAAAATTTCCCAGGTTTCCAGGCTTTCACACATCCATTCTTCCCAAAGGGGTGTCCTTACATGTCCGTCTGATGCATTTATAGGGTCCTCCTTTGGGTCTCTCTGATTTCTGCTCCCAGTGCAGACGAGCTGCTGGGAACTTGCGGAAACACTGCTCACACACAGCGCGGTCAGGTGGCACCTGGCACTGTCAGCTCCCTGCTCCCTGGGGAGGGGGCGCACAGGGGCCAAGCTTTCCGCGTCCTCCTCTATTGGCTGATTTGGGGTCTATAAAGTGCCTAAGTCGTCTTTCTGAACGGTCGTCTTCTTTATACCAAGACTTATTGGATATTTCCTCAAAATTTTTTCTGTCAAAAAATGCAGCTGGCAGAAGTGCTGCTGCGGATTATATGGATGCCGAGCCTGGACTGTGTGAATGAATCCAAACCATGTATGAGCCTGCGGGGGAGAGTAGGGGGGAGGGGGCTGGGCATACCCACTGGGAAGGGGACCAGCTCCATGTGCTGGGTGAGGGGGTTCATGTTCCTCTGTCACTCAGGTGAGTGACATGTAAATAGAAATGTCTTCAGGTTGATCTAAAAGAATGGAATGAGCTGAAAGAAAGTGAGCAAAAGGACCATATGATCTTCAACTCCAAATATCCCAGGTATAAGAAGTGTCTGAAATAGACATTAGAGAAACACCACTCTAAACCCGCGTGATTCTCTTAACAGATGCCAGGAGACCCCTCTGAGCCTCAGCGAGTCCTCTGTTCAGGGGGAGGGGGAGCCTGAACACTTCTCTTCCCCGCTGATGACAATGTTCTCAGTCCATTTCCTCCTGCAGGGGTATGAGGTGGGGATGTTACTCACCTCCCACCTTACGAAATCTAAGCAGCATCTACCTCGCCATGCGGTGAGGTGGGTGTTTGCGGGCGTGGTGGTGGAAGAGGGTCACATTTACATGTTCCATGCAATTCTGGATCGGCTCAGCCTCTGTCACCCATCATTATGACACCACCGAGTACCACCTGTGTGTGCCAAGGGCACTAACCTTGCCCAGGACTGCCCACCCTTCCCACCCGGCCTCGTTTACACAGGTGTCTATACAGAGGGGCACTGGGTTCTCGCTGAGCAGGACAGGATGGGGGCTGTGAGGAGGGGCAGGCTGAGGGCCAGGTGCCTCCGGATGTACTCTGGCCCTGGGCCCTGATAATGTGAGGGGTGGGCCTGTCCACAGGGCCTCAGAATAGATCTGCACCCCTAGAAGTCCCAGGAATTCTGGGAGCCAGGGGTCTGCTCAGGCTGTGCAGCCACGAGAGGGGCTGGTAGCATGACCAAGACAGAAATCCTCATGGACGCCTGACTGCATGGCTGAACCCTCCTCCACTCTGGCTTCCCGATGCTCCGGGCCCTCCTTACTCTTCACTGTTCACTCTCACCTGACCAGACAGCAGACGGGGAACTACGCTGGCAAAGCTTTGGGTAAGAAGGAGCAGGAATGTATAGGCTTGGTGATGAGCCCCTCTGAGCTCGCTACTGACCCAGTGGGAATTGGTTAGGCTGGAAGAGGGCGGACATGGGGCAGGCCCGCCGACCGTGTAAGCAAGAACCGTTGGTGCAGGAGAAAGTTGAAGACGTGTGACTCAGATGACCGGCGGCACTGACACACAGTTTTGCTGCTAAAAACTGAGAATAACTACACTACTTTTCCGCAGAATACAAAATGGATGATTAAAGTGGTAACAACTATAAAATAGATCCCAATTGACAGTTTCTTCCACGAGCGTGAACTCATTGAATCCTCACAAAGATAGGAGCTATGAATACCCTCGATTTACAAGTAAAGAATAAAATAGAGAGGGATCGAGTGACTTGCTCCGACTGACACAGAGCCACGTGCAAATAGAGGCATTGAGGGCAAAAGGCTCCTTCTCTTGCCATGACTCAATTCTGCGTCATCAAATCAACACTGGTGAGGTGCTCTGCGAGTCACTCTCCACCATGCACACCATCGACCGGGTGTGAGTGTCATCTGTGATGCTTTTGGGGAAAGGCGATTTTGGAAGTTCTCCCACGGGGAGAGACTAGAAGCTGGAGAATTACAGGACAGGGCCAGCCCTCCTTCCAAACTGAGCAGCAGGCTTTGGGGGTGGGAAGGAGGAAGGTAGGGGTGAGCCCCGAGCATGGAGGGTGAACGCCACCTAAGAGTGAGGCTTGTCACCGCCTGGTGAAGTCTTTCATGCAACAGCTCCCCTTTCTAAAGAAAAAGCTAGGAGCTACCGTATTTCACAGAGAATACTATGGTACTTGCCAAACACCACAGCTCCCCAGAATATGAAAAACAATACCACGTGATAAACTTTTGAGTTACAGCTGTTATTTTCCACCATTTCAATTAAAAGAAAACAGTAGAGGTAAAATAAAACGTAAATGATAATTACCTTGAGTGTATATGATAGCTCACTTCCAACGAATTCAGGTACAGTATAAATATACGTCTGTGTGTGTGTATATATATCAAAGTGTCACAGCATCCCTGCAGAAGCAGAAAAGGGCAAGTAATTAGTAGACTATACAATTATATCCATAGGTTTCCTTCTAACTATAAAACTTTAAGTCACCGTTACAAACCAGTAGAAGAACTTGGTGCCAATCGAACTTGGCCGACCAATCAGTTTTGTTTGACCTTCACAGTATTTAAAACAATTTGAGCCCATATTTAAAACACAGTATCTGTGAAGCGCAATAAAGCAAAGGGTGCCTCTACCGACGGGAGCTACAGGCCATCGCTGACCAGCCAGGACCACTGCCAACTCAGTCACCTGGCTGGCTTTCTCAGGCACTTAACTCTGGGATTCCTTGATTTATTGTGTGAATTATGTCTTCCAAGTAACTTGAGTAAAGGTAATCATGGCCTAGCATAGCCTGATGTGATTACAGTTATATTAAAGCAGATGGTTTTCCAAAGGGCCAGCTGTGACCCGTCAGTGCCCTGGCTGTCAATCCTGGCCCTACATGGGAATTCTTGGGAGGGGTTTTTAAGCCACGCTCTCCCCTCATCCAGACCAAGTAAATCAGGATCTCTGAAGGTGCCGGCCTGGCATTGGCACTGTTGTTATTGCTGCTTAACAAACTCATTTACTGAGGTACAGCATACAAATAGCAAAGTAACACATCGTTAAGGTGAACACACCTATGTTATAACCAGCAGCCAGACCGAGAAAAGAGACCCCAGACCCTGCCTTTGGACCCCTCCCGGTCACTACCCAACCTTCCCCAACTATCAAACCCTTACTTCTAGCTCCATGCACTAACGCTGTGGTTCTTAAACTTACGGATTCATACCACATGCATCCCCTTTGCACCTGGATTCTTGCTCTCAGCACTTGTGACTGAGGTGCATCCAGGCTGGTGCATGTACCGTAGATGACTCCTTTTCTTTGGTGCTTAGTATTTCACAGCATGACTATATCACCACCTATTTTTCCATCCTACTGGGGCGTTTTGAGTTTGGGACTATAACAAACAATGCTGCTGTCTATGAACATTCTTGAACATGTCTTTTGGTAGACATATGTATGCGTTTCTGTAGGGCATGTACCTAGGGGTGGAAATGCTAGGCCATAAGGATATGTATACTCAGGTTAGGAGTGGAAATGCTAGGTCATAAGTATATGTATACTCAGGTTAGGAGTGGAAATGCTAGGCCATAAGGATATGTATACTCAGGTTAGGAGTGGAAATGCTAGGCCATAAGGATATGTATACTCAGGTTTAACACACATTGTTGGACTACTTTCCAAAGCTGTTGCCCCAATTTATGCTCCTACAACAGTATGAGAGAGAGAGAGAGAGAGAGAGAGAAGCACAGAGAAAGACTGAATGCACTGTTTCATGCATGCATTCATTCATTGGTTGATTTCCTATGTGCCCTGACTGGGGACCGAACCTGCCACCTTGGCATATCGGGACAATGCTGTAACCACAGCGCTACCAGGCCAGGGCCTGGCTTTAGTATTTTTTTTTAAAGTTCTCTATTGGATCTTATTTTCAGCCAGTATTGAGAACCACTATCAATGGGTCAGAAAAGTCATTCATAGGCCATGACCAGAGATTGTCTACAGTGGAACGGAATAGAAAAGAAAACATCAATATGTATCAAGCATTGTTTAGTGAAACTTTTTTCTCTGAGAGAGAGAGAGAGAGAGAGAGCGAGCTTGAAGGGGTCTAAAAAGTATTTTCTTGCCATCGATGATAATCAAAAAATTTTTAAAATCCACTGTAATAGTGTAATCAGTGAAACAATTACTTAGGAAAACTCAACGTGCATATGACTTTACAGTCATCATCCAGAAATGCTCTGAGCGAAGCTTTACTCTCCCCCAGCTGGCGGTGGACCAGAATTCCCAGAGAGCAGATCTCGCTGGAAACAAGTCAGGGAAAGCCGCTTATGGCTAATGCACCAGAAGGAGCTCATTAGGGGACCCTGCCCTTTGACCCACAGTGGAATATGATAATGAGCCCACGATGTGAACACTGTAAGAGAAAACGGTTCATCTGCACAACCTGGGATTTGTTCGGCATCAGCAAATTCTAAGTTTGTAAAGTTTTAATCAGATGTTCAACAAGAAAACACTTTTGAGGGCAAGAAATCGAAGCCAATTTAGTTATTAAATGATATCAAGTCATCCTCATTACTGAAGAATATGCTCTCAGAATTTTTGCTTGCATTTTGACATGATTACTTTATTGTTCAGCCCAAGTGAGGGCCAATCTAATCAACAAGTATTTACTGACGACCCACTAAAATACATATGTCTGGCAAAGGAGTCAAAATAAAAGAAATAGACCTTGTTTTTGCATATAGTATCTCTAGAGGATAAATGGATTAAGGCATATGACTTTTTCTCCCTAAGTACTTCATTTTAGAACATGGAGATAGTAAATGAAGATGATTTTAAGCCCTTTAATGTAATACTTTATCTCGTCAAATAACCCAAACATAGGCTCCAGTTGTGAACTTTATAATTTTCCCTTTACTGAGAAATGTGCGTGGTGATCATTTCACAATGAATACAAATATCGAATCATCTGTAACATCTGAACGAATATCATGTTATGTGCATTACATCTCGATTAAAAGAAAAAGCTGGAGAACTACTTCCATTTCTCCCTTTGCCAGGCTGGTGACCCCATGCCACGTGTGTCAGAAGGCGCCACTGCAGGATGGAAGCAGGCAGCACAGGCTATGATGGGAGAAGAAATAAACCTCCGGTGGACACACAAGGAAATAGGTGTCTTTTGGTTTTGTTTTATATTTTGCACATGAACATGAATGTGTGTGTATGTGAGTCTGTCTGTGGTGTGTGTGTGTCCCTGTTTGTGGTGTGTGTGTATGTGTGTATATTGTGTAAGCACGCATGCGCGCACCAATCCTAAGCAGAGGTGTTTGGAAATTGTGGTGAAATATCTTAGTTTCCTGGCATTTCCTGAAGATATAATTCAGGAAACAATAAAAAGGAAACTTTCCATTGAATTGGAACTTCTGTAAACCAAGCATCAGCTATGTGTTAGGCTTCCAGTCTGTTCAGCTTACTTTCCTTAAGAACATAGCACAGCCTGGCTGGCTGGCGTGGTTCAGTGGTTGAGCATCGACCTATGAACCAGGAGGTCACCGTTTGATTCCTGGTCAGGGCACATATCCAGGTTGCTGGCTCAATCCCCAGTAGGGTGCACGCAGGAGGCAGCTGATCAATGATTCTTATCATTGATGTTTCTAACTCTCTCTCCCTCTCCCTTCCTCTCTAAAATCAATAAATACATATATATTAAAAGAACATAGCACAGACCCCCTTCCACAGGCTCTCCAGTATCCAGGTGGGCAGAAATAAAGAAGGAATGCTAATCCAAATGAATCAAAACCTTTTAACTTTGTACTAGAACGGCATATAGACACTTACAGTCTGAGAAACTTTTAAGTCTCATACTTGGGAAAGATGAAATGTGTCTCAAAGTCAAGTTCTTTTCTCAGTAAAGCTATCTTCTGTTTATTAGTGGGCTTTCTCAGACTTTAAGGTCAGATAAGAATGAAATTTGGAAATAATTTAGCTGTTTTAAAAACACAGTGATTGCTGAAGTCTATATACAAGCATCTGTCCACCATCAGCAGAAAGCCCATGGGGAATTCTGGCTGTTACAGTGTCGAACAAGGTCAAATTGTCAATCTCTCGTTCACCTGCCACTGGAAGTTTTATACCTAAGCCCTAATTTATTTGACTTGGCATTTTAGCTTAGTTTACATTTTCATCATTTAAAAATCCTTGCTACAAGACATTATCTTAGGGCAATACATATAGTATGAGTCATAAAATGATGACACTGACGGTCGCATAGGACTTAGGGGAAAAGTCCTGCTACTTTGGGATGCCTTTCACGGTGCCTATTGTTTGGTCTGTCCAGCGTGGACACAAAGATTCCTCCCATCGTTCTGGGTCCACCAAGTACAGGAAACAACCATCTGGGCTGTGCAAGGCCGGTAAGGCCAGGGCAGGCGTTCCAGGAAAGGAAGGTGCGACTGTGCTTGATGCCGGCAGGAGCTTCCTGGCACTCCCACCTGCCTCTCTGTGCCGATCCACACTTCACCGGGAGCCAGAGGTGGGACAGGCGGCCCACACATCGTTCCTGATGCCAACCCGCCTACTTGCTAAACGTGACTCCAGGCTTTTAGCCAGTAAATAAGCCAACCACGCATGTCTCAAACCCATCTTTATGAAGGTGTGTTATCTCTAGTTCAGTCTTAGCACTGTAGCCCTAGTCACAGTGGGGAGCCTTGGACACCCAAGGCTGCTGTGTGGATGGCCTGCCAGGGGCCTAAGGTAAATAAAAGGTCTCCACACTATGTACTCTGTTTCTCCTCGCACGCGCACCCACCGGCAATGCTTCTTTGGGGGCCCAGGAAAACTCAGGCGGGGTGTGTGTGTGTGTGTGTGTGTGCGCGCATGCATGCGTGCGTGCGTGTGTGTGCATGCGTGCTGACCTCTAACTCTGCAATACTTCACACAGGACACTGGCTTATGAAGCATCTGATGTTCCTGCTTTCCTACCTAAGTTTACTCTGCTTTAGGGACTCTCAGCACAGGATGGTCACGACCCTGGTCCAAAGTTGATCGGCTCCAGCATGAAGGATCCCCATAATCGCAATGGATTTTCTAAGAAAGTCAGTCTCACTGCAATATAAGGAAGCATCAACGAATGACCAGAGACGTGAATACAGATGGGAAGTCCACCACTTGTCAGTCACGCGGGAGGTGCTTTGCTTCAATCGGCTGCCTCCTGCACGCCCCCTACTGGGGATCGAGCCTGCAACCCGGGCATGTGCCCTGACTGGGAATACAACCAGCAACCTCTGGGTTCCTGGGTGGATGCTGAGCCACGGAGCCCCATCAGCCAGGCTCGTCTTTCTGTTCTTTGTAACAAACAACCCTGTGCAGCGGATGTTCTAATCATCGCCTTATCAATAAGGAAACAGGTTTGAAGAAATTCTCTGACTTGCCCAGGTCACCGAGTTAACAAGCAGGGGGACTGAAATCTAGATCTTTCTGCCTCTCCTGCCCACATTCTGCCCGCCATACCATGCCGGCCCCCAACAGTGAAGCACATCATAGACTGACTTTTGGCCTTTTGCTATAAGACGCCATGTGAGCGTGTTATCGTGGGCTCAGGGCTGCTCACAGGCCGAGGGCCCCGTGAAGGGCTGATGGCATAGGACAGGAATGCAGAAGGCTCAATCGCATAGATCTCTGGGTGCCGTGAGGCAGCAGAGTCCTGGCTCCCTCCCTTCCCTGCTCTGCCTGTCAACCTCACTCAGCCCAAATTCCTCATCTAGAAACTGCACAACGTGAGTTTTATCTCATTGAATTAAGTGGGAAAATGCACATATGCGCAACAGTGTGTGTGTGTGTGTGTGTGTGTGTGTGTGTGTGAGAGAGAGAGAGAGAGAGAGAGAGAGAGACAGAGAGAAAAAGAGAGAGAGAGAGAGAGAGAGAGAGAGAGAGAGAGAGAGAGAGAATTATTACTAACCCAGAATTCTCTTGAAACTTATGTAAATTAATTGGGTTGCTGTTAGAAAAGGCAGAAATATTTTTAATAGGAAGAGCCTACAATTATTGTGCATGAACATATGCCTCTTGCCCCTTAAAGAATGTGTCCCGCCCTGGCCGGTGTGGCACAGTGGATAGAGCGTCGGCCTGCGGATTGAAAGGTCCCAGGTTTGATTCTGGTCAAGGGCATGGACCTTGGTTGCGAGCACATCCCCAGCAGGGAGTGTGCAAGGAGGCAGCATCTGATCGATGTTTCTCTCTCATCAATGTTTCTAACTCTCTCTCCCTCTCCCTTCCTCTGTGTAAAAAAACCAATAAAATATATATATTTTAAAAAAGAATGTGTCCCTTTGGGCGGGAATTCTACCGATGAAATTTTAAGGAACCCCCCTTTTAAAAAAAAGAATTGTAGGGGGGTAGGAGGGGAGAGGAATGAGGAGTTGTCTGAAGCCCAGCCCTCACTCATGGTACAGAAGACCCCTGAACGCCATGGATTCATGAATAAGTTCATCTCCACCACCTAGTGAGTCCCGGGGTTTCTTTTCCTTGTGCTGAATAAGGCTTTTTAGGAAATAAAATGGCTTGAAAGAACATCCTTGCTAAACACGTGCTTGGGTGGGAAAAAATAAAGTTTTGTTTTGCTTCTCCCCACGAGGCTGGCAGTTTGAGAGCTAATCAGCGAGTGTCTTCTAGAGCGACCCTGAGCCCTAGCCGGTTTGGCGCAGTGGACAGAGAGACACTGAGATTATGACTCGACAGGGGAGCTTAGAAAAGCTCCCCCCGTGGGGGGAATGGGTCCTGCCTTGTCCCCAGCTAAAGTCATCCCGGGACGGTCCTGGCGGCCTGAACACGTTCTCCACAACCCGGGCTTTCCTAGCAGACCACGCTGTGCGGCTGGGCTCGGCCTCCTGGGATCTCACTCTCAGGCCATTCTCCCTGTCCGTCCCTTCCACGAATCAGTACAAATTCCTCCATCAGCCGGTGACACAGGTCCCAAGTAGAAGTCTGGAGGCCACACTTACTCTCCCCACCAAAGATGTCTGAAGTACCGCTCACCAAGCAAAGGGATTCAAACCCCTCTTTTCTGTCTCCCTCCCAGAAAATCCAGCCAAAATGAGCACTGTGACCCCCCTTTTCCCTCTCTCTCTCTCTCTCTCTCTCTCTCTCTCTCTCTCTCTCTCTCTCACACACACACACACACACACACACACACAGTCAAGGCCTCCTGGGTTGAAAGTTCTCAACGAGCAACATCAGCAGAGAGGTGCCTACCTGTCTGGGGCTTCAGTCCACAGAAGGCGCCCCCAGCCTCAGCCGCCCAGCCGCCTGCCCGCGTTCCAGCCCGGCGCCTGCTACCACAGGGCAGCGCTCCTCATCGCTGCGTGCGCTGGGATTCCTGCAGGGACCCACCCTCCGAAGTTGCAAGTCAAGATTTCTGACTGAGGGCGATCCGTGACGTGAGGCAGAGCGACGGGATGGCACCTTCAGGTTCTTCCAGATGGGACGTCCTTTCCTGTCTCACCACTGGGAGAGGAGAACACTGGAATTCAGTCCGACACGGAATCACAGCGAGTTGCCTCATCGGCGCGGCCTTTCGGGGCGCAGGGTTATGAGTCAACTGCTGAACAGGATGGTCTTGTTAGCACGGGAAGGAGGGGGTGATGCGGTGGTGGCAAGGAACCTGAAACATGGTTAACAATGCGCTGCCACCGAGCTGGTAGGGCAGCCGTGGGACTCTCTAGAAGCCTGCGAGGACTGGCGGGGCTTTGTGCTCATTAAACCACCCCACCAGCCCCAGGCCGGGGAGCTCGTCACCTCGGATTATCAGCCCACAAGGGTGCCTGTTTCTTAGCTTTTTGAACCACATCACAACAAAAATACAACAGCCGGGCCACCTGTCCTATTCAGAGAAGCCAGATGTAATTCCCTTTGCCCCTTTTCAAACACCATCCCAGCCCACGGAAGACACGCCTGCGCGTGGCAGGACATACATGTTGTCGCTGCCCGCTCAGGGCCTGTCAATGCCAAAGGCATGGTCCCGACTGTGCACAGCCCTGACGTGAGGCCGTGTGCGCCTTTCGGGGCCGTTTTCCTTTCTCTCGCCTGAAGATGAAACAACTCCAGGCGTGGGTTCTTTAAAGGCGCTCTGAGAGGGACAGAGCTTGGTCAAGTTGGATCCTGCACCCCTCACCAGCCAAACCTCACCTACCAGGGGTGCAGGCAGCACCGCCCACTCCACAGCCCGGCTCAGGGCTCCTCTCACTGGCTGCAAGCCCGACTCAGGGCGCCTCTCATTGGCTGACTCCGCTGCTGAAAGACACCTTTCTTCTTCTGTCAGCTAAGAGATGACAGCAAAGTCAGAACTGACTGGGGGCGGAGAAGGGGGCACGCCAGTTTCAAATTCTTTGAAAGGCCAGTTTCTCAGATTTCGCTCATGAATTTAGTTCAAAGGAGGAGGACTGGGAAAGGCCCCTTCACTCAACACTTGCTCGCTCCGTTCTCCCGAGTCCGTCTTTTCTCTCCCCGGCTTCCTTTCTTTTCTCCTACGCGTACATTTTAAAGCTCATCTGGCAGGAGGGCTGGACTTGCGTCTCTGAGTGTGGCGGGCTGTGGTCAGACCCTCAGCATGTCTCACGGGGAGACTGCAGAATCGCCTGCTCCTCCTGCCCCCAGCTTGTCCATTTCCAGTCCACTCACCTCCTCCAACTGCCACCCTATTACCTTCCTAAATAGACTGACTTCCTTCCTTCCTTCCTTCCTTCCTTCCTTCCTTCCTTCCTTCCTTTCTTTCTTTTATCCTCACCTGAGGATATTTTCCTCCATTGCTTTTCAGAGACAGTAGAAGGGAAGGAAGGAAAAGGGGAAAGAGAGAGAGGGAGAGAGAAACATTGATGTTGAGAGAGACACATCGATTAGTTGCCTTCTGCACGAGCCCCAACCAGGGGCAGGGTGTGAACCCGCAACCGAGATACCAAGAATCAAACCCCAGACCCTCCAGTGTGCAGGCTGATGCTCTAACCACTTCGCCACACCAGCCAGGGCAAACATTTTTTTCTTTATCATGACTCCCCCCACTGCTGGCCAGGCTCTACCAGCCTCCCTTTCCCTATAGGCTTCCTTAGTTCCTTAGCACGGGCACAGCCTGGTTGCCACCAATGTTCCGAAATCTCCTTTTGCCCTTTCCCAAGATTTTCCAGGCAAAGCAGACAGACAGCTCCGGTGTCCACCCAGGGGCTGCCTCCGCTGCCAGGTCCCCCAGCTCTCAGCGCACCCTGTTCTGTGTTGACACCTACATGACAACACGTCCCCACTGTTACAACTTAGCTGGTGCCGTATCTGCTTCCCCACTGCACTGGGAGTCCTTCCGGGACACGCTTTACACATCATTCTATCCTGGAGCTTCACACCGTGCCTCGCTGCCCAATGCCTGTCCAACTCTAACACCATCGTGGCTCAGTGTTTGGCAGGGAAATCGTCCACTCCCGGGAAATCTGGGGAAGAGAAGACGCCTGAACTCCACTGCAGATTCCCTGTCTCAGAACTGAGTAAGCCAGAGAGTACTGCCGTCACGTTTAATGGGGTTTTGGTGGGGTTTTTTCCCTTTAGTCATTTGATACTTAAATACATGTCATCTACCGAAGAAATGGAATGTTCACATTGAGTCTGAAGTATTTGCACATAGCTCCGTATCTCCTCTGTCATCAAAAAGCAGATCGCTATCGGCTGTATTTCTTGAATCAGTGTCAAGGTGTAGTTCCTCCTCATTCTTCCAGGACGGATGTAAAATTAACCTGCCTCCCACCCTACGTGACGGGGCAACAGCCAGAAAAGTGGAAGTGAGAGGTTCTGAGGGTTTGCTAGGTGTGGTCTGGGGTGGGGAGAGGGGTCGGTGGGCGGAGGGGAGGGGGGCGCTGTGTCTCTCCGCACAAGCCTGGCGTGTCTGCGCACAGCCCCTCTGAGGAAAGTGGAGAACAGTACAGTTCTTTGGAGGAGTCCTAAGGCAAGGCCTTTCTCTTCCTCTTTTTCTTTCTCTGTCTCACTTGTGCCTCGTGATAAATTTATCAGTCCACTGCTAACAGAGAGGGAAACCCCTGGGAAGCACGATAGAGTACTTAGTATGTGTGAGGGTCATTTCTTCTAAGTATAACACTTAACTGTTTCATTTTCTGGGAAAACTTGAGGAGTAAGTTATTTTTTAATTAGTCTTACATTTTGAATCCTCATTCACAGATGTTGAGGCATTTATTACAATCTTAACGCCCGGCCAGTGCGGTTCAGTGGTTGAGCATCGACCCATGAACCAAGAAGTCGCGGTTCGGTTCCCAGTCAGGGCACATGCTGGGTTATGGCTCAAACCCCAGTGTGGGGCGTGCAGGAGGCAGCCGATCCACGATTCTCTCTCATCATTAATGTCTCTCTCTCTCTCCCTCTCCCTTCCTCTCTGAAATCAGTAAAAACATATTTTAAAAAATATGTGAGTTGCCAATACAACGTTCTGTGTGACAAATCAATAAGGAAACAGGATGTCCTGTATCCCTCCCGGCATCATTCATTCGACACATGGCTTATGTAAAGTGTTTGAAACAAAGATGCGACGATGTTTCTGACCTCGTGGAGATTACTATCTATCTTTCCCCTCTCGCTCCTGTTCGCCCTTCTATCCCTTACCCACAGGCCACCTTCCAACAAAGAACTGGGGGAAGATCTGCTCGGCTAACCCAAGAATGGGCCCTTCTCTTCTGCGTATGAATTCTTTTTTTTTTAATATATATATATATATTTATTGATTTCAGAGAAGAAGGAAGGAGATACAGAACATCAATGATTGGCTGCCTCCTGCACGCCCCACACTGGGGATCGAGCCCGCAATGCAGGCATGTGCCCTGACTGGGAATCGAACCCTGACCTCCTGGTCCATAGTTCAACACTCAACTACTGAGCCATGCTGGGCAGGTTACCACATAATCTTAAAACACAGCCCTCATCAAATTCCTTCCTTGCTCTGAAATGTATGGCTCCTTTATGCTGGTTACATTAACTATAAACTTCGATGGCTACCTATTTCCTAGAAACTCCCCTCTACAATGTGATCCCCACCCAGCTTATCCCACTTCATGCTCCAAATGCACCCCAATTCCTATCTCCCCTTGGGCTGGGCCAGTGGCTACGTCCCCTCTGACCTTTGCTCATGCCCCACCCAAATATGCTCCTCACACCGGCCTGGGTCAACCTTTCTCTTCCTTGAGTCTTCACACTGATTATCCAAATCACACCAGGATTCCCCGTTTATGCGCAGCCCCATTCTTTCATAATAAAGTACAAAAAATACTTCTGTATTCCAACTTGACCGGTGTGTGTATTTGTGCACAGACACACACGCAGGTCGGTGCCTTGTCTGCACGGGGCTGTTAACACCCTCTGAGCCCAGATCTCACCCCACAAACACTCCCAAGTTCACGGGAGACTCTGGGTAAATATTAGTTAAGGATGTGATACCACTCTTTGCCCGGATGTTGGAAGCCAGATGTACCTTGTGCAGCTGCTCTTCCTCCTTCCATGGGATGTTCATTCCTTCAACGGTGATTCACGGAGCACCTCCCATGTGCCTGAAAATAGGGAGATCACGGTGAACAAGGCAGCTCTGGGCCCTGCTTTCTCCAGACTTGGAGTCTCGAGTTTGGGCTTTGGCTGGAACGCGAGGCCCACTCTCTGAATGGCGACAGTCACTCGCTCTCCCTCCGTGGGCGTCTACCAGCAGGTCAACTGAGCTACACAGCAAGGGGTGGGGGCTAACTCCTCAGAAGACAGTAAAGGGATATGAGCAAAATGCCTTAGACCAAGCTGATTAGAAAGTGTTCCTCACTGGCTTCTACTGAGATCTCAAATGAGGAAAAATATTCTTTTTTTTTTTTTAAGGCTGATTTTGATTTAAAAATTGAGACACCACGTTTGCCCAGCTGGTGTGGCTCAGTGGTTGAGCATCGACCTATGAACCAGGAGGTCACGGTTCGATTCCCGGTCAGGGCACATGCCCGGGTCGCAGGCTCCATCCCCAGTGGGAGGCACACAGGAGGCAGGCAATCAACGATTCTCTCTCATCGTTGATGTTTCTATCTCTTCCTCCCTCTTGCTTCTTCTCTAAAATCAATAAAGATATTTTTAAAAGAAAAATATAAGAAATAAAACATCATCCGCGGGCCATACACAATTATCAACTTAAAATCAGCCTGCCGTATCTGGTCCAACATTTCATGAGCTCACCCCTGATGCCTCGGCAGGGCCAGGCCACACGCTTTCTCCGGCCTTGTACTCCGAGTGCAATTTATGCACATTTCCACAGTAACAACGATGGCCTGTGGCTTCGGTAATCGGCGACCATCAGCGCGACTGATGGCAGACGCGACAGCAACCCTGCCATTCCATTCCTGGCCCATCGGCAGCGATCTGCACTGGCTGTGACGGATCAGATACCCAAACGGATGCCACGCCAACGTCATGTCAAGTAAGTAGAAAACGCGGAGCTAATGAGGGCAGAAACGCCGCCTGACGCTCCCAGGGTTTCAATCACGTAGCCAGTGGGTGTGGAGACGGAGGGTGACTGCTGCCAGGGGGACGGTGTGATTACGGAACACGTTCGCCCCGGTCCCAACCGGTCACTTGTAATTTTTCAAACGGAATCCACCATAAATAC